CACACACACACAAAATATTTGCAGTCACAAATATTCCTTTTATTGGAAGGTCAGGTATCATTACCCTGAGCCTATAACTGACTGTTTTGGTATATTTTATGTAATTTTGACTGTGTTTCATCCTGTACATGAAATGTAGATATAACAGAATACTGATCACTTGCCTACATTTAGTGCAGAAATTTAGAATGTTTTCCCACCATGCCCTGTTCATGCTTTCATGTTGTGGTGCTTAGTACAGCATTTCAGGTGTGCTGCAAATTTTATAAAAATTATATATTTGCACTTTGCACAGTGGTCCATCATTGATAGTTCTATTAAGCATGTTATATTTTCATATGCCTGAATTCATATAGGTCAAGGATTTATATGCAGATATATTTTTGTGGCCATGTATAATTTTGTATCCCCCTTTCTTGAGGTGGAATTTTGTGGTGTGCCATTACGTGTCTGACACATCAGGGTGTGTTGCTGGTAAAAAAAGTTTGCAAAACACTGGCTTAGTACATGATGCACTACCATTTACTTGCCTTCTTATTTTAAATGGTGATAGGGAATAATACTGCATAGACTAATTGCATCATATAAATGTCATGTTCAGTAGGTTACCCTTCTCTTTTATATGTGTGTAGTAAATATATAACTATTTGTGCAAGGTATTTTGCAGTGTATGTGTTTGTGCATAAAAGAAAGTGAACATTGTGTTTGAAGGTGTTTTCCAGTATTTGCCTATATAGACACTTCATCCCCAGCTAATATTTGAACATGAGCCTCATAGATGTACAGCAGGAGTATTTATTGCGATGCTCTGTGGGAAGAATCCATGCCATGATTTTGCATTAGTTCACACCATTTCTTTTTTATCTGTGGAACTTCTGGAGTATGTTTTTTATGGTGGAGATTGCTTTAATTCATGTTAATAATGCATTGGTGTCAATCCACATTTGGAGTTGTTGCACAAAATTCCATGTTTTTTTATGCATGTTTCATTGTACTTCATTGAAGATAATGAAATTTGTATGTATACATAA